GAAAAAATAAGAACCAAGATGCATTATATAAAGGTACAATTCCCAATGAGAAATGTAATTGTGTTGTATACCTACAATGTACCAATAAAAGAATTAAAAAAAAAAAAAGAACAGCAGAAACCAACCAACTTACCCTGCTCAGTGTGGGATGAGCTCACCTTTCATCAGGAGGTAGCCTTGAGCCAAACTGATATGTGCCTCTGCCAGTTTCCAGTGGGAGTCGCCATAGCAAATCCTCGTCAATGCTATGCAACGCGAAAGTTCGTGGATACCTTGTTTATACTGTTAGGAAAATAAAATGAACTTACCAGTTAGCTTAAAACTTCAGAGTCACAAAGCACAAAACTTGCTTTCATCTATTCAACAAAAATTTATTCAGTACCTACTTGGTACTAAGCATGGTTCTGAGCACTTGAGATACAACAGAGAACAAAACAAACAATAGATATAAGAAACAAATGCAATTTATAGTACACTTCAAGGTGAAAAATGTAATGAAATAGAGAAAAATAGAAAAGTAGGTTTTCTACCTGTTCCTCAATGAGTGACTCCCACATATTCAGCTATAAGTGGACAGTAGTAGTGGTTTTCAGATAACACACTTGAGCTCTCATTTTATTTTATTTTACTTTGGTTTTTTTTTGTTGTTGTTGTCACCAGGAATCAAACTCGGGACCTTGCACTTGCGAGGCAGGCGACAGAACCACTGAGCTAAATGCCCGGCCCCAATGAGCTCTCATTTTAAAGCTCTCATTAGCAGCCTATGATAGCAGCCTATGATAGTAGCCTAGTAAATGAGATCACTGGGACTTAGCAAAGGAGTGAGAAGCACATTTTCATTCAGAGCTAGGAGAAAGAGAGGAGGGAACCATGGCTTTCCAGCTCCAGATCAGCTATGAGGAGTAAAATACTCAAAGTAAGGCTGGTGGTTTCATAACACATCTCCAAAATTCTGAGACAATCCTTCCAACCAGAGATAGGGGTCTCTGTCCCCATCTCTTTGAGACTGAGCTTTATGAGTTTGGCCAATGAAATATGAAAGAACTGATGCAGTGCCAGTTTTCAGACCCACCCAGGTCTCAAGGAACTAATGACTGTCTCTCTCTTCTTGGGTGTCATTGTTGGAATCTGGATATGGGTTACATTGTGTCCCTCCCAGTCAATATGTTTAAGTCACAACCTCCTACCCCTGAGGATGCAGCCATATTCAAAAATAGGGCCTTTAAAGAGGTGACTGAGTGAAAAGGAGGTCATAGGGTAGGCCTACTCCAACATGACGGGTGTTCTTCCAGAGGAGGAAGACACTCCAGTGCTGTATGTGCTCAGAGACCATGTGAAGACACTGGGCAGCCATCTGCAAGCCAAGGACAGAGGGCTCAGGATGAAACCAGCACCTTGAACTGGACTTCTAGCCTCCAAAATTGCAAGCAAATAAACCTGTGCTGTTTGAGCCCCAGCCTGTGGTGTTTTGCTATCGTGGCCCCAGCAGTCCAATATGAAACCCAGCCACCACGCTGTGAAGAACACTCAGTGGCCCCACGGTGAGACCCACGAGGAAGGGCACCAACTGCCAGCACTGACTAGTCAACCATGTGAGTAGGCTGTGGTGATAGAGTGGACTCTGCATGCCCAGCCAGCCCAGCAGATGCTGCGTGGGCCACAGCTGAGCACTGAGCTCCGCACAAACTGTAGGCTCAGGAGAAAAATGGCTTGACTCAGGTCGCTAAGTTTTAAGGTTTATGTACAATAGATAACTAGGACAAGGCAAGGTAGCTGATGACAGCAAGTAAAAAGGGCAAAGAAGGAAAACAGGAACAAGGACAGAGTTGTACAGAAGACCCAGGAGAAGGCCCCATGGACCCCACGCAATGCCAGTTAGAAACACTTGCACCCTGAAACCGCATTCTTCGTGACAAAAATGCACATCCAGTTAACCACAGCAGAGTCACTTTTGTGACCCAACAGGAGGAAGCTGTACCGAAAGAAGGCGGGGCTTTGGCTCTTTTCCACCGTAACAGTTTCTTCTTACAAGAGTTAATAGATGCTTGCTGGTGTCAAAATGCACATGAGCAAAAAGGTGAAAACTAAAACCACTCACCAGCTCACTTCATGGACATAAAACCAGCATGCTAAATAGCCCATTATTCTTTATTTTTATGAACTCATCTACATATTCTTCTTCTTCAAAATAGGCTCAGAGTGACCTGCTGTTTTAACAATTTATGAACATTTCCCATGCCATCATCTATGGGTTTTTTTTAACATTGAAAATTTTCAATTAAACATGTAGCATTGCTCAAATAAAGAAACATTTCCAGTATAAATTGGAAAGTGCTGATAAATCAAGGACTTCTCTTTAGACTGAGATTGAAAGTGGTGATTCCTTTTCCGAGCTTCAGGAACAAAAAAAATCTGCTAAATAAAATGCAGTCTTCACAGCATTAGGTGCATGGGAAATTCCTTTTAAATCTGGCCATTCATAAGGTGCTTTTTCTGGATGCCACTGGACAGCATATACTGGATACTTATATCCTTCCATTGATGAAATGAACTTAATCTTGCCATCTGTATTTGTAGTTAATACATTGAAAAACTTCTTTAAGTTTTTATTCATTATAAAATTCTTCATGGAGAGGCTCCCCTTGTGAAAATTTGCAACCAGAGGTTCTGCTGCTAATGATTGCAACAAGTCAGGAAGACAATTTTGGAACATTCTGCTCTTTGATGCACCTTTAGTGAAGCTCAACGGCAATGTTTTATTCTCAGTATTTGTCAGAGTTAATGAGCTTTCCTCACTGAGCAGATAGACAATCTCTTCAAATCCAAGGCATGTACCCCACCCAGGAAATAGTCTCCATCATCAAAACTGTCTGGAAAAGTTGTAAAACATTTTGGAGACATTAGCATAGCCTGACTTCTCAAGATTAGCGCCTCCTCCGGGTAAAAGGATTCCACTGATAGACTTGAAAAGTTCTTCATACTCTGAATATGTAAGATTAAGCCTTACTGGTACAACTCTTGCACCTGCAGACTCTAGATACTTCACATAGGATGCAGCAATATATTTCCCAAGATGTTTTACTGTCGTGTTTGTGGTTTTTTGCATTAATACTCGATGATGGGTTGCTCGCTCGGTGGTGGGTCTGTGGGGTCCGGGCAGCCTGAGGCTCGGTGCCCCGCAGAGCAGCAGGCAGCCCAGACTCGCCTTCTCCTGGCCTTCTCCCGCTGTGGTTCAAAGGCACTGCGGCCGGCCGGGAGGGGGTCACAGGGGTCCAGACAACTTAAACAACTGCTTCACCATCTATGTTTTAATGGCAGCACAGTGTTTATTGTGTAGATTATCCTAATGCAGTTACTTAGTCACCATTGTTGGGCATTTAGGTTTCAAATTTTTTTTCTACTCTCCGAATAGCCTGTATGGAGATAAGAAACCAGGGTTCCCTGAACCCAGTGCCAGAGCAGGGTAAGCCCAAGATGAACCCGAAAAATCTTGTGCCCAAAATTAAGAAAATGTTCAAAGAATAAGAGGACAGATCAAGGACTTGGCCAGCTTGAAGCCACTCCCACTGGGAAATATCAGATGACTGAAGCTTCAGTGAAAAGAATGGGTTGTAGTACATAATAATCCTGTTGTAAAACAGGATTTCCTGAACCCGTATGGATGTAAATACATGAATAATAAATACAGTGTGAAGAAGGAAAAGCTCTTCCTTATAATGAAATACAAACAAATGTTGAAAGCATACTGGAGTCAGAGGCTTGTTATTTGACAAGCATCATAGATAATAACAGAATCAGGCAAGAATCATCAGTGGATGCTAAAACTTAGGAGTGAAGGCTTGAGTGTTTTCACAACCTAGTGTATCTCTCTTCAGGGTTCTTATTCATTACAAAGGGAGAAATAACTCCACAGTGAACAAACCTGGGAGCCAGCACTTTAACCAAGCATTCAAGGTTAGCACGGCAATGATGAGACCAATGGACATTCTATATTTTCTGGTATGAAGTACCAAGGAGGTCTCTAAAGTTGTATCTGCAATATTCCTGTCCTAAATGCATAATTGGAATGGAATCATGAGGAAATACAAATTCAAATCAAGAGATATTCTACAAAATAATTGGAGTGTACTTCTGAAAAACCATCAAGATCCTGATAAGCAGGTTAAGACAATTGAGATTAAAGGAGACTAAAGAGACACAGCAGGCCAGACATGGAGGTGCATGGTTGTAAGCCCAGGATCGGGAGGCTGAGGTGGGAGGACAGAAGTTCAAGGCCAGAGTGGACTACATAGAGAGGCCCTGTCTCAAAACAATCATGGGGTTGGGTGGGGGAGAAACTGTATCCAATCTGAATTCATGGATTGGACTGTGGATCTGATTTTTTTACTATGAAGGACATTAGTGTAGAGAAATAGATACGGTTTGCCGATTAGGTAACAGTATTCACCGACACTACTTCTTAATTTCGATCACCACACCGTGGTTATGTAGGAGAATATCCTTATTCTTAGGGAATAGACACAAGTATCTAGATGTCAATGATCATAGTATCTGTAACCTGTTCTCAGAGAGCTCAGAAAAATCACACGGAAGGAATGGAGGATATGAATGAACATAGGGCTGGATGTGGCTCCGTGGCAGAGTGTATTTAATATGTGCGAGGCCCTGGGTTTACTCCCAGCCCTGAAGAACTTTAAAAAAGGGATAAAGTAAATGTTAACTGGTGAACCATAACTTTTTAGTAACTCTAAAATTATTTTTAAAAAATGACCCAGAACTGAATTAATTCAAAAAGTGAATGACGCCATATGGAGAACTTCCTGACATTTTTAAGATCTCTCAGCACGCAACCTTCAAGAGCCTAACTGAACTGATCATTTCTCCAACCCATGGCCTCTCTTCACTTCAAATAGCACCCTCGCGCCTCCTTTACAGATTTTATGGGTGGTGTTTCCTCTTTCTAGAATTCTTTTCCCTCAGCTTCTCCATGGTAGCTCCTTCTGTTTGTCACCTCCTCCGATGCCTCCCCAGGTCAGCCTGCCCAAGATGAGCTCATTCTATTTCAACTATCTGTTTTATTCACAGTGTCAGTGTCCCTCAGCTCCACAAGGACATGTGCACTGCTTATCTTGTTCTTTGTTGTCCCCCTGGATTCCTCATCTGGCCCACAGAACACAGAAATTCTTTAGGACCACACATAGGAGAGAAGCACCGAATGCCTTTGGGTAGTAGGGATTGATTCTCTTGCTGAACTTTGGTTGAAGAGTGCTACTGGCTGAAGGCAGATGGCCTGGGCACAGTAGCTACTGATTAAACATCAGCTGCATGATGAGTAAGCATGTGCTCCAAACCAATTTCCTGCCCACTTGCCATTCGGCTGCTCTTCCTCCTGGACTCACGGTACTGATGAGGGGAACAGGCAAGTCTCCCCAGTCACCCCAGCAGACCGAGCCCTGCATCAGGGTTCTGCACACCCCCTCTGCCTTGGACCCACCTCTCCATCTCTGATGTCCCCTTGGCCATCCAGGCCCACTGATTTGCATTTCTACATTCCTTTCAAAAGATCTCAATCTCTCTACTGCCTCTGCCTTACACAGTTCAGGCCCTCATAATTCCATGCCAGGATTACTGCATATATCTTCTTAACTCCCCTCCTCTAGTTTCTACAGGAATGATCATTCTTAAAACTCAGACATGCTCATGGGTTTTCTCTTGTTTATAATCCTAGGCTATTCCTCCAGTCCCTTGAAAAGAAAACCAAAACACTTTGGCTGGGCAGTGAGTGCCCTCCAGGCCCCAGGTCTTACCAACAACCTGCTTCATTTCTTGTCCTATGTCACTAAAGCCTGCATCTCAGACAGCTCCTTGAACCAATCAGAGTCCTTGGTTCTTACCCACCCACTATGTTTGCCGGAATGCCTTTGCCATCTCCCACACCTGCACCTGGCTGACTCATAAGCAGTTATCTGTGCAGGCCAAGTAACTGCCATCCCAAGAAGTGAGCCTTAACCACTGCCCTCACCACCTCCAGGGCCATCATCCACCCCTTCCTGTTTCGGGTCTCTCTCACTCTGAGCTGTATCTATCACAGAACCCATCCCACTGTCCACCATGATCTGCCCTCCTGTCATCATCTCAACCAAACCATCAACGCACGGAGGCAGAGGCTGTGGCTTTTCCCCCTGAACCCTGGGCACCTGCACGGCACCTGACACATAACGGGCAGACAATGGGTACCAATAAAATAATGAATGGAAAAACAGGGCCTGACAAATCAAAATGAATAAAACTTTTGAGAGGAGAACGAGGGAGAAGTATACCTAGAAGAGGAAGATTCAGAACATAAAGGAGTCTAAGTCCTATGGCAGCAGAAACTTCGTCTGCATTGTACTATATGCCAGTGTCTAAACCTGGCACAGGTAGAAACTCAATAAATATTTATTACTGCCCATGCCATTTGCTGAGCATGGAGCCCTGAGGTCTTACATTCTCTCACGAGATAGCAGAGGCTTTCTCTTATGTACTCTTTTGTCATAGTCTTCAGATTAGGAATGTAACCTAGAGTATCTACTTCTTTCAGTCATATGTGGTACAGTAGTTCAATTCCCAAAGAACAGGTAGAGAATGGAAAGGCTTCTTACTTGGTGACTGCTGAAGCAGGACTTGGCTTTCTCCTCACAGAGGTGGAGTTTCTCTCGAGGAGGCTGGAATAGCACGGTCTGAGGCAGTTTGTTCTGGATCTTCTTTCTCGGATTGATGCTGACAGCAGCAACGACTTCATCTAGGTGGTTGGATATGTGGGTCTCCTGTGATTCTTGCATATTTTTATATTCATTGTCCTCTAGTTTTTAAATGAAAAATGGAGGTGTTAAACAATTTCTGTAGTTAGTTTTAGAAATATACATTTCCTCCCCTAGAAATTGAAGTTAGATTCTAAGAAAATTTCAACTCTATATTGAAAACTTCTTTGAAATTAGTAACAGCATACCCTAGAAGGTCAAGGTGGCTAGGACTGACTTCTTTGAAAAGTTTTAGGCTGATCTCCAGTTTCAACTAAACCAAATACTCTTTGTTCATTAAAAAGAAATTATTGGATCAGCTGAACTCTAGCTGACCATGTTACAGAAAGTAAATATTCTTAAACAATGTGAAATAATATAATATTACTTGAAGGTAGACTGAGGTAAATTAAAGATATATAGCAGTGGTGGCAAACCTATGGCACATGTGCCAAAGCTGCTATTTGCCATCATTGAAAACTCTAAACGGTTCACCATCGCCAAAATATATTTATAAAGCTATAGTAATCATTAGAATTACAAAACAAAGATTTGTAAATAATAAGCCAACAGCATGGATAAAATGGAGTCATAAAAAATAGTAAATAAATTTAACTACATTAAATGTAAATGGTCTACACATCCTAATTAAGAGATAGATTGGCATATTGAATAAAAAAATCAAAATCTTACTACACGTAGCTTACAAGGAATTTAAATATAGACAGACAACTAGATTAAATGTGAAAGCATGGAAAATAATATCTGAAAACTAGTAAAAAACAAACTTGAAGTAAATATATTATTTATAATATATATAAGTATATATAGATGGGTATATTTTACAGCAAAGAATACCATCAAGGATAAAACAGGTAATTTATAAATGATACAAGGATCAATTCATGAAGAAGACACAATCATCTCAAATGTTCATACACTTAATAGTTTCAAAACAGACTAAAAATAGATAAAACTGTAAGAAGAAATAGATAAATCCTCAATTCTAATGAGAGTTTTATTTATTTCTCTCAATAGCTGATATACTAAGTCAGCAGAAAATCAGTAAGGATACAGAAGACTTGGACTATTAGAACCCTGTACCAATAAAAGAATACATATTTTTTTCAAGTGTGCATAGACATTAAGTAAGACATATTGTATTTAGGGCCATAAAACAAGTTTCAATGCGAATTATAAGAATTCAAGTCTTATAAAGTGTATCATTCTCTCCCCATAGTGGATTAAATCATAAATCAGGAACAGAAAGTTATCTAGAAAATGTCTGAATATTTGGAAAGTGAGCAACAGATTTCTAAATAAGCCATGGGTCAAAGAAGAAATCAAAAAAGGAAACTGAGGGCTGGGGATTCAGCTCAGTGGTTTCGCCGCCTGCTGCACAAGCGCAAGGACCTGAGTTTGATCCCCGGTACCAAAAACAAACAAAAAAAAGGAAACTGAGATTAGTTTGAACTGAATGAATATACAAGAATCCGAGGGTGCCACAAAGGCAGAGACGTTCTGGGAAAATTTATAACATTTAAATACCTATGTTAGACACATGCGAGGGTCTCAGGTTAATGACCTCAGTTTACCTTCAAGAACAAGAAAAAGCAAACAAATTAAACCCAAAATAAACAGAAGGAAATAATTAATAAGTAAATAATAATGCTAACCTCATAAATTGATGAAATAAAAACAAAAATAATAGAGAAAAAAGTCAATGAAACCAGAAAACTACACCACTAGGTGGCTTCTCTGGTGAATTCTACCAGCTATGTAAGAAAGCTGGCAAACCAAGTCCACAAACCTCTTCCAGAAAATGGAAGAGAGAATATTTTCTGACTCATTCCAAGAGATCCTGATATGAAACCAGGACAAATACGGGACAAGAAAAAGAAAACTACAGATTTGTATGCCTCAGAAGTACAGATGCAAAAATTCACAACAAAATTTTAATAAGTTAGATCCAACAACTTATAAAAGGGAAAAATACATCACAGCCAAGGGGGGTTTATCGCAGTAATGCAGGATTGGCTTAGGATTTGAAAATCGGTCTGTGTAATTTACAACATTGATTAAAAAAAGAAAAACTGTATGATCAGTTTAATCAATAAAGAAAAAGCATCTGACAAAACCTAATATCTAGTATCTGTTCCTGATTTTTAAAATACTCTTTGTAAAGTGCAAATAGAATTGTAGTTCCTCAGCTACATAAAAGGCATTTCTGAAAAATCTAGCACCAGATCTAATGGTGAAAAACTGGTCTCTGTCTCTCTCTTTCTCTCTCCTTTCCTTTCCTCTCTCTCTTTCTTCCTTGCTTCTTTCCTTTTCCATTCTTTTCCTCCCCTCCCCTCCTCCTCCTCCTTCTCCCCCCCCCTTTGATCTCTCTCTCTTTCATACTGGGGATTGAACCCAGGAACTCAGGGCTTTCACACTAAGCTGTATCCAACATTTTTTTATTTGTTATTTTAAGACAAGGTCTCGCTGAATTGCTAAATTGCCTAGGCTGGGCTCAAATTTGTGGCACCACACACCCAGTTACATTTTTTTTCAGGGTGGGGAGTGGGGACCGAACCCAGGGCCTTATGCATTCTAGGCAATCACTCCATTACTGAACCATATCTTCCTGCCCTTTCTTTTCTTTTCTTAGTTCATTCAATTCTTTTTGGAAAGTATTGTTAAGTTGCCTGGTCTGGCCTTGACTTACAGTCCTCCTGCCTGAAGTCTTGGAGTAGCTGGAATTGCAGGTGTGTGCTACTATCCCAGATCAGAAACAAGACAAGCAGATTGACTCTCAACACTTCTTTTCAACATTCTACTGGAGTTCATAGCCAAGGCAATCAATAAAATAAATAAATAAGAAGAATAAATAAAAAATAAATAAATAAGAAATAAAAGGCATCTGGATCAGAAAGGAAGATAGAAAACTGCCTTTATTCACAAAGGCATCTGATGTAATATACAAAAAAAATCTATTAGAATAAGTGAGTTTAGTAAAGTTGTAGAATGCAAGATCACTATGCAAAATTTCTATATATCAGCAGTGAGCAGTCAGATTGAAATTTAATATGCATTAGCATCAAAAAAGAGGAAATAGGAATAAATCTACCATATTATTAAGACCTGAATAAAACTACAGAATACTACTGAGATAAACTAAAGAAGATATTAATAAATAGAAACATATTCCATGTTCATGGGTTAGAAGACTCAACATTATTATTTATTTATTTATTTTGTGGGGGGGGGTTGGTACTAGGGATCGAACTCAGGTCCTTGCGTTTGCACCACAGGCGGTTAAACCACTGAGCTAAATCCCCGGCCAGACTCAACATTATTAAGATGTTAATTCTCCTCAATGTAATCTAAACATTTAAAGCCATCCCAATACAAATACTTCCATGGATTTTGTTTTATTTTCATTTTGGGTAGGAGTAGACAAAATTCCTAAAATGCATATGAAAATGCAAAGGACCTACAAAACAAAACAACTTTGTAAGAGTAGAACTGAGCTGGAGGGTTAACATGATTTTTTTCCAAGACTAAAAAGCTACAGTAGAAAAGGCAGTTTGTACTAGTATTAAGATTTTTAAAAAATTGATCAATGGCACAGAATATGAATTAGAGTCTGAAAACAGACTCATACATACACAAACAGCTGATTACTGGCAGACAGGCAAAGGCACTTCATTGGAGAAAAAGTAGTAGTTCAACAAATGATGCTGGAGCCATTGAAAATTTACATGTTAAAACAAAACAAAGAAAACCCCCTTTGATCCCAATCTCACTATAGATACAAGAATTAACTCAAAATGTAACACAGGGCTAAACTTAAAACCTAAGATTATACAAACTTCTATGTGAAAACCTCTGTGACTCTGAGTTAGGTAAAACTTTCGTAGATCTCACTATCAATAAGAATCAGAAAAAGAGTAAGACACCTCCCTTACCACCACTAGAAAAAAAAATGTCACTGTGATTGTACAGAATGTGAAATCAGCAGAGGGAAAGGAAATGGGGGAGAAATGAGCGGAATTGCTGAAAGGAATAATTATTGTTACTTGACAGCTCCTTGGATGTATACCTTTAAGGTGGACAGTCAAGACTGATTCTGACAATTTCATTTTGGGACACTAGACTAAGGCCACAGCCCAAATCTATTGTCTTTATAAATAAAGTTTTATTAGAATACAGGCATGATCATTTACTTACATATTGTCTATGGCTGCTTTTGCACTGCAATGGGAGAGGTGAGGAGTTGTGACTGAAATTCTATGTTGCTAAAAGCCTAAAATATTCACTATCCAGTCCTTTATAGAAAAAGTATATGAACCCCTAGAAGACAGTGATGCCGTAAAGAAAAGTAGTGAGATCAAAGTGGATTGGTCTTTTTGATAAGACAATCAACTTATTTGCACTAGAGTGAATCTGAGGTTATGGGAGTAAATTTACAAATATATCTCCAACTTAGAAGTTAGAAATACATCACTAAAAAAAAAAATCACTAGTTTTGAGTGACATCTTCTGAAAGAGATTAATTTTTTTCCCCTTAAAAAGTATAATTTATGCTTAATTCTCAACAGGATTTCAGATTGTGTAGAGGTAAGAGTCAAAGCAGACGGGATATAGGTCACCAAAGTAAAGTGTGTTGACTCCTTACAACTCTAAAATAGAGCTTTACATTGTAAGAAAAAAATATATTCACCAAGAAAAAAGTTAGGGCTTTTCTTTTCCTTATAAAGCAACATAGAATGAAAACATGAAAGAGAACGGAAAGAAAGTACCTAAAGGTCAAATTGCGAGAAGGCCCCCAAGGCTGAGGTACAATTCAGGTGACTCTGAATTGCAAATATGAAAGTTTAATCCTTCAAGGTTGTCATCTAAGATTTGCCTAAACCTCCTCTACAGTACTATTTCAGATTCCAAGATGTGGCTTTTAAAAATATCTTCCTGCCTTGTGTTTCTTAATCTACTCAACCCACTGGCTCAGATATCTGTGGTCTGGAGAAAGAGCCATAGACTACGCTGGGGACTCTGAGATTCAAGAGCCTGAGACCACTGTACAGAGTGGACAATGCTAACAGCTGTTAGTGGCCCAGCCCTTTTCTTTCCATGGTTCACCTCACATGGCCCTGAACACAACCACATGAGCTAGGGCAGGCAGGTGTCACTACCCCTGTTTTATAAACGGGGACAACGAAGCTGAAGGACACTAAATTATTTGCATAAAATCATAAAGCTGGAACTGGAACTTGGTCTTTCAATAATATGATGATTTTCTACTCCATCATCTTGTCTCTCACTGACCACAGCTATAGCTGTAAGATGCAAATGCTGTTGCTTTGGAAACCTGAGTCTGCATGTTAAAAGTGATCATCTATTTTTATAAACAGGAAATGCAACATCTTCAATAGATTTAACCTCATTTTCTTACCTTCTGTTGAGAGGGAAGCAGAAAAAAAATGTTTAAAAGTGACCTAAGTAATACGCCCTTCAATATTTTTTTATTCCACACCCGTGAACTGACTGTTAATTTTGAAATGGGTTTTTGTTTTTTGGCTTCACTGTAAAAAGTGGTTTGTCTCACTCTGCTTCTTAATAAAGTACTGCATCTTTAGCACAGGGACCATATATAACCAGAGTGATGACAGACTGGATCCAACTTGTATGCATTTTATTTTTTTGCTAGAGAGTTTAAAAAAAAATCAAGCCATTATTTTAAAATTAGGAGTTTCCCATAAACTGCTAAATTAACCCTTCTCTGAAAACTCAGCACACCTGTTAATATTGGGCATCTGTCACCCTAGACATCAGCCAGGGTGGAGGGGCCGCTGCCTCCGGAACCCAGGGCTCTCTTTGGTTTGCCAGGGGTCACCATGATCTATTGGCTCCTGGGCACGGAGGCAACAATGTAGTTGGCATTTATTACTACTCCTGTGTTGTTTTCTTACCATGTAAGAGTAAGTCTGTCTTAGTTACTTTTTTCTTGTTGCTGAGACAAAATACCAGACAACCAAAGTAAAAGGAGGAAAGGTTTATTTTGGCTCAGTTTGTAGAGGTTTCAGTTCTTAGTTGGCTGGTCCCAAGGCAGGGTGGCATGGGATCACAGAGCAGGCAGGCAAAAGGCAGCAACCACAAGCGACCCCACTAGCCCTCTTTCTGTCACTTATATATTTTATTCAGGCTACCCTCCCTTAGGCCCAGTAGCACTCACACCCATGGTGGGCTACCCTTAATCCTACCCATAATCATGCTAAACCAATCAGTGGACTAATTTAGTAATCATACACCCTTGATCCCAGCATCACACACTCTAGATCCAGCCACTTCTGAAAACCCCCCACCTATGACTACATGAGGCTCTTGGGGGAAATCTAGACACAAGCCATAACAATGTCTCTGAATTAATCTCTTTTGAAGTGAAAGGCAGACCCAGAGGAATGTGATTTTCCTTGCCCATGCTACTCACTTCTTGAATTTCATCTAATTTAAAGCATCTTTGGTAACAGGACACTACTGTGTTATACACAATTTGTGACTTGCCATCCATTATAATGTCTAATTTCAGAGATGTATAAATGCCAAAGGAAATGTGCATGTCTGAATCAATGAAAGGTGGTGGGTTACCAGCTGGGCTTCTTGGGGGATTTGAATTAGGAATCTTACTTGAAATACATGTGTTTCAATTTGTGTTGCATCAGCCAGTAAGACCTTTAAAGACATATTTTCAGTTCACTTACTTTGAGCTATGCACATATCATCAGCCACTTTCCTTTTCTTTGTAATAGTCATAGCTGGGGCTTAAAATTTCATTAGAAATCAGCCCAGGCCCCACATACCACTCTCTCCCTGCCAGCCTTGGGTTCCCAAGCCTCTCAGTCTGTACCCACAACTGCCAGTCAGTCTTACCCAATCAATCCATGCTGTTTTTTCCACCAGATCTGCCTAGTAGAATGCTGAAGTACATGGTCAGTCCCAGATCAAGGTGGGAAGGAGGTCTGCAGTGGGATCTCAGACTTCCATGTGCAAGAGGTGATGTGTAAAATATTTAATAACTGAAGAACAAGGAGAACAGGAGGATGAACCAATCCATATTTTGAAGGTCCCCCTGCTGTTCTAGGTGCTGACCTGTGGGGGAGACATAAGGGTGGGCCTCAGGGAGGGGCAAGAGCCTTCTTGGGAAGTAACATCTATTATGACTTTAAGAGAGTCCTACTTTTAAAAAAAAGTCACCCTTATGTAAGCAGAGGCACTGGGAAAACAACTTAGGTAGACACAAAATGCTGACATTGAATCAAAAACAGAAAATCTGAATAGGCATATAACAAGTAAAGAAATGAAATGAATAACTTAAAATTCTGACACAAAGCTTAGGTCAGGCCCAAGTATTTCAGTGGTAAATCCTATCAGACCATTTAAGAAGAAACAAAATGAATCCTTTGCAAACTCTGCCAAAAACTACTACAGAGAACAATCCTTTCCAACTCGTTCCCTGAGGCCAGAACTGCCCTGTCACCAAAGCCTGACAGACATCAAAAGAAAAGCAAAACTACTGTCCTTCATGAATATGAACACAAAAGTCCACAACAAAATGGCAACCCAAATCTAGAAGTATATAAAAAGGATTATGTATTATACGTGAGGAGGATTTATCCCAGAAATGGAAAGTTGGTTTAACATAGGAATTCATTAATGAAATATGCTGTCTTAATAGAATACAAGACAAAAACCACATATTCATCCACAGGCAAAAAATGGCAAAATCAAACACCCACTCATGATAAAAACTTCCCAGTCTAATAAAAATCTGATTTAAAAAACTAACACTAACATCATATGGTGAATGTTTGAATGCTTTCCTCCTAAGATTAACAAAAAAGGCAAGGTTGTATTCTCTCACTGCTTGTATTCAAGAATGTGATGAATATTTCAGCCAGTGCAATAATGCAAGAAAAAGAAATAAAGGTATGAAGATTAGAAAGGAAGAAATTCTAAGGAATTTAGGAAAAATGAATAAATAATACACCTATAGAAACAAGTTCAGTAAGGTCACAGAGTACAAAGTAATTTTTAAAAAACTATCTATAAAATAAATAATCTGAAAATGAAATTTAAAAAGCACTTCTATCCATAATGGCATCAAAAAATAAAATACTTTGGTATAAATATAATAAAAAGTGTAAGAGGTATACTCTGAAAATTAAAGAAGATTTAAATACACAGAGAGACAGTCCATGTTCATAGATTAGAAGTCTCAATATTATTAAGACAACACTGTTTCTCAAATTGATTCCTGGATTTAATGAGATCCCTAGCAAAATTTCACCTGCCTTTCTTTTTTCAAGAAATTAAAACAATTATCCTCAAATTCATATGAGAATGAAGAAACTCAAGATAGATAAAACAATCTTTAAAAATAAGAAAGTTGAAAATGCGCACATTTCCCAAATTTAAAACTTACTACTAAACTACAGTAACTGAAACAGTGTTGTACTTAAAAAATTTCACTAAAAGTTCTAGAGATATAATGAACAGTGTAGTGACTATGATTAATAATGTCATATACTTAAAACTTTTGTTTTTATCACATAAAAATAGTAATTATATCAGTGGATGGATTGTGTGAATTAGCTTGATTATGGGAATCATTCAAAAAGGTGTATACTTATATCAAAACATCAGTTATACACCTTAAATATGTTTAATTTTTTTTATTTGTCAGTTATAACTCAGTAAAACTTGTGGGAAGAAACTCCAACAAAGTAGTGTGGCACAATAAGTAGTGTGGTGCCTAAGGACTGAGGTACAGAAAAGACGTGAGAATCCAAAATTAAACTCTGACATATAATACGGTCAATTTTCTTTTGTGCATGTGTGGTATTGGGGATCAAGCCCGGGGACTTGCATATCAATTATTTTTTTGATATATGTGTCAAGATCATTCAATGGGGGAAATATTAGTCTCTTCAATAAATAATGCTGGAAAAACTGTATGGGCACGTGGAAAGAATCAAACTGACTTCTATCTCACACTGTGTATAAGAATGAACTTCAAAATAACCCAATTAAAAATGGGCAAAATACTTGAATTGGCATATTACAAAGAAGTTATACAGGTGGCCAATAAACATAAAATGATATTCAACATCATTAGTCATTAGCAAAATACAGATCAAAACTACAATAAGATACCATTTCACATCCACCTGAATAGTCATAATAAAAAAGGCAGATGATTGTAAGGATTGGTGAGGATGTAGAGAAACTGAAATTCTCATACACTGTTAGAGAGAATGCAAAACAATGCATACAACTTAGTAAGCGCTTGTGATATTCCTCAAAAAGTTACAGTTGCATTATTATTTTAACCAGTGTTCCCAAATGAGCCTTCTGCTGCAGTCAGAGTCAACTTCCCCCCTTAGGTATTCTGTACCTTTGTGCTGACAGCCCGCACAATCCCTCGATGCCATTTCCTTATTGAAATCATGGCAATAGCTCAAATTGGTACAATGCTGTGAAGTTCTCTGAATAACTCAGCTCACACAGATCTGAGCTTCTAAACCACCCATGGCCTGTAAAAGTCATGTTCAGAAGTTTTCATTTAAAAGTCCTGAGTCTAATTTGTCCAGAGCTACGATATAGCTTTGGAAGGACTATATGTTATGTTATATACCCATATAGGAACTAACAACCACCACTCAAAGAAATAGCTATTCTTGTTTATCACTACAAGTATTTTTCTGAACTGTAATATTTTAGTTTTAATAAAAAATATTAGTCTTGAAAATATAAATGCTAGGCTTCTTGCGGGGGAGGTTATCCTACATAAACTATCTGCTGATTCTGCCTCATATACCAATATTGTTTTGCTTGGCAATAGGTAGATCTGTTTCTGGATTTCTTAATTTACAAACATATACAAAATTTGGCTCCAAAGCAGACTGTAATTTTCCCATATCTTTAATAAGTGAATAGTTTATTTGGCCAGATATAGTTTACAAACAAAAATACTCGTTTCATTTAAAAACCACAATATTATTTTCTAAATCCATATTTAAGCAACAATAACAAAGCGGTTTTTAAAAATAGAAAATAAAGTAAAATTAATCTTTTTCTCTCTTTTTTTTAACCTTTCAAAACTCTGATAAACTGGGCTAATGTCCTCCAACTTCATCCTAAAGAGAAAAATACCCTCTGAAAATTCTTCATCTTGCCACTCTGTGCTCGTATTTCCTCTGCTTTTCCTGATTCTCCTTTAAAACTAGCCAAACCCGGAAAAGTTTCTTCAACTCTCCAAATCTCCAACTATCTCGAAAAATCCTTTGTCACTTTACCCAGTCAGCTTGAGAGTCTCCATTCTTTTTTCAAGCGAAACAGTCTTGACAGATTGATTTGACAGCTTAGTTCCCACTGTATCAATTTGGAGATTCTTTGTATAGACTGATAACCATAAAAACTCTAAAGTAGGGCAGTTCCAGACTAAATTGGAACAGGCTTTTCCCATAAAGCAATCCGGTACCTCACAAAACTCCAGGCTGAAGAATGAATGATAGAGCGTTCACCAATAGGAAGTGGAGAAGAGTATTTTGTCCAAGTTTGTAACCCAATCCTTGGGAGTCAGAGGTGGGAATTTTAAAATAGGGTGGTCTTTTCCTTGGAATTTTCTTAAAGTGGTATCACTGCCTGTTGAGGTTAACATTCGTCAACGAATGTAAAATCATTAGTATAAATTAGAAGATTTTCTCATTGTCTTGAGTCAAAAATATGTAAAGTGACTCTATATAACTTGAGAGAACTTTTAAGAGTGGTCATAGGATATTGTCACAAATAATCACTCATCAACTTTTTTGTCAATTTGAGAAGGGTATGAAAGTTATTTCAACGTGATTCCTTTTTTAAATGATGATATAGCAGATATTAATGCACCAGAGGCCAAATATTTCTTTTAAAAAAAGAAATGAAAGCTAAGCAACTTGATTACCTTTGTTTTAAAAAATCCATTTTCTATCTCCTTTTGACTATTTAAATATTAGCTGCAAGTCTTATTATTTGGCATGATCTTTTATACCCTGAGTTTTGCTTTTACACAAACTGTAGGTTTCCTTATTTCAAGTCCAACAAAATATTTGAGGTGGTTTGAAATCATAGGTCTTAGAAATATAGGGCATATACTATGACGTATTTCAGTAAATCCTTGAGACCAGATATAATAAATAGATAATTGATATATTTTATTATAACTCATACTTTATTTTGGGTATGCATGTACCACTGTACTATAATATCGAGTTTTTTCTTTTTCTTTTTTTCCGGTACCGGAGATCGAACTCAGGACTTTGTGCTTGCCAGGCAGGCTTAGTGCCACTGAGCTACATCACCAGCCCTCATACTTTATTTTGGAATACAGGTTTTCACTTAATATAACTCTGCCTTCTAGATTATTTCTTTCTGAAAGTAAGCCAAAAAGCTCATTACAAAGTTAAGGTTGCTTGACAATAAGCTCTAGCAAATTTATAGACATCAAGTTTTTCAAAGGACAAAGAATAACAATTTGAGAGAATGAATTAGAAATATATATTTTAAAATATTTTTTCCTGGTCCGGGGATTTAGCTCAGTGGTTTCGCCGCCTGCTGGGCAAGCGCAAGGACCCAAATTCGATCGCCGGTACCAAAAAAAAAAAAAAAATTCCTGAACAATGCTCGACTTTTCCCCCCCTAGCATGAAGCTCCGCGGACTCAGGAAATTTCATCTTGAAGAAATACCTGACAGCTTACTTCGTCATGCTATGAACTGCCATAGTATTTAGTGTTCTAAATTGTTATTGGCCTTTTAGCAATTGTTTCCACGATCCTTGCACTTGGAACTTAACGGTGTGCACTGGGAGGGAGCCCTTAAATTCAGCGCTTAGACTCATGGATTGCTGACCAACTTCAGTTGCGTTACAGATACCCATCGGCCTCAGATTCAAATCCGCCAGGCTGGTATAGCGACAATACCTGTGTCATGGGATTGCTGTTGGGACTGAAACATGGTCATTTGTGCACAGATCTTAGAACGCTGCCTGGCACACAATGAACGCTCAGCAACGGGTGTTACTGTCATCCCTCAACGTATAAACTGAATGAGAATTCAAGCGCCTGAATGAATATATGAATGAACCTCAGTTACTGGTAGCTCCTGAGGTTGGCGCCGGCTGATATACCCCTTTAGGAAGCCAAGCAAAAAAACCATTCTGTTGGACTTTCATCCCCGAATTGGAGCCGGAAGCAGGAGCGGATCAGTGGGCAGAGCCAGTCTAGAGGAAGACACTCTTTTAGCCAATAGGCACATCATTCGGAAACGAGCCTCTTCCTCGACCAATCGTGCAACCGCGAGAACGGAGGCGAATTATCGCGAGGTTCCATCTGCCTCTCCGCTACGCTGTTTTCCCCAACTCCGGGCCACGAGATTCCGCCCCGCCCCTCCCCGCCCCCAGGGCCGTTCTGTCCCCGCCCCGCCCCGCCCTCCGCCCCCGGCTGCCCGTCCCGCGCGGGCTGCGCTAGGTAGCGCTGGCTGGGCGGGCGCCGAGGTGAGTGCGGCCTCCGCGGCGTCGGGAGGGTCACGTGTCAGGTCCCCGGCACGGCCGCGGCGACGACCTCCACACCCCTGAAATCGCTGGGCCGGGCCGGGCCGGGCCCCGGCGGGTGGGACCCCGAGCTGCCGGGCCTCGCCCTGCGCGGCCCCTCGCCCTGAGATCCCGGTAGCTCCTGCCTGCGAACCTGTCCGGGCTCGCAGCTTCCACGCGTAACGACTTTAGCGCCTGCGAGCTCGTGTGTTTGCGTGAGACTTCTGCCAGCGTGCTCCAGTACTACGAAAATTACCTTGTTTCGGGTGTTTTTAATGTACAGTTTATACTTCTCTCATCTCGCAAGTTAGCAAATTGGAGGGCGTATTCTGTCTACGGGGAAGTCAGGATAAGGGACTCTTCCTATAAAATATTCTTTCTTATAATGCCCGGAATTTTCTTTAAAATGGGAGTTTTTAAAAATAAGAGATCGATGTTCACCCGTCAGAAACTCGTGTGTAGGTGCAGCTGTCTACACGGATTGCTTTAACTACAGGCATGAGGTAGTGAAAGGGAATGGGGAAGAAAATGATTCTGTGAACGGCTGTCTCTTGCCAGTGAAAGCATAATGAGTACTGTGATTATTGGCATTATTGATTTCATTTGTATAGACTTTAATCTCATAATCTGTCTTTGTAGCTAGATGGCGTTTCAACAGAGGCTTTCGTTTGTATTGATGTATCTCCCAGTCTTTGTAGCAAGATACATTTTAACAAGGTGTAATGTTTTTGAGGCAACCGATCCTAGCCACGGCATCCAGAAGGAAAGCTGCCGGGTTAGAGTGAATTCTCTTACTGAATCTTTCATCAGTGAATGTGGATTTTGGATATAGTTTGACTTTACAAAGCAACATCTTCCATGTTTGTGAGCTTTGTCTACCTCGTAAGTGCAAAGAGGAAGCCCTGGCTGCACTGAAGTGAGTGATGGGTTGCATTGAGGCTGGCGCGCAGGCTTTGCTGCGAGGCCACTTGTGTTGGGATTCTGCAGTTGCCTTCTGAGAAACTCACACATAAAAGGCACTAAGTGATATCCATTTCAGTGCGTGGCTCTGAGGACTAGAGATGCTTAGGATATGTAGCAAGTTTATGGTCTTGACAGGGTTGAATGAAAAGTCAACCTCCCAACGTCATTCCACATATTGTAATTTCATCCTCCATTCATTGGCTGTTTGAAGTCTTATTCCCTACCTCCTTACTGGGGATCAGTACTTACTGGGCCTTCCTACTGAGCTACATTCTCAGTGCATCTTTTATTTTTTATTTTGAGACACAGTCTCACTAAGTTGCCCAGGCTGAGTTTGAACTCAAAATCCTCCTACCTCAGCCACCGGACAGCTGGGATTATAGGCGTGCACCACCACTCAGCCTGAAGGCTTACTTTTGGATACTGTGCTAGACACAGGTATTTGAGCAGGAAGAAAGCAGCAAAAGCTCTGTCCTCAGGATTTTACAGGTTCTTGGCTAGACTGACAATAAACAAGTACACCCATAAATATACAGATTACAAATTGTGCAGAGTCCTGTGAAGAAAAACACACAGCTGGGTTGCTCTGAAAGAATAGCAGAATAGCTTGAGATAGGGAAGTGGCTTTCATGTTGAAACCTAGAGGATGATGAGACAGTGCTTTTCAGGGTAAAAAGAGAGCAGCACGTGCTGAGGAGTTTGGTAATTGCTAAAACTGAAAAGCCCAGGATGAGTGATAACTTCTCCCTGGTGAAGAGCCAGGGAGAGTGCTGCAGTTGAGGCTGGGGAAGTGGATTGGGCCTGTTGGTGAGGAGTGCTGAAGGCCTGGTAAGAATCTGATTTCCTGAATAAGTTGCTTCCGTAAGGTATATGCCTGAGAGCCAGGAGCAGTTGGATGTGCAGTTTCAAATGTATGGCTGTAATGAGTGTGCTGGAAGAGACACGAGGAGACCAGTCATACAGTGGCCCAGGCAGATGCTAATAGCTTGTGGTCTTGGCAGATGGAGCGATGTGGATAGAACAGAGGTATTTTGGAAGTGGAAACCACTAGCCCTGTAATAGGTTGGTGATGTGGATGAATGAGAGGAGGGAACTATCTGTGACTTCCAAATTTCTGGCCTGAGCTGGATGGACAGAAATGTGCTTTTTTCCCCAGTGTACTAAGTGTGGGTTCGGATTGGGTTGGTTCAGATTGGTGATGAAAATTAATGACTCTCTGTGAATGTATTAAATTAGATAATGCATGTGGACTGTCTAAACTGCTTCCAGTTTCCTACATCAGTGAATAATTAACCTAGAAAGCTTCACTGTCCACACAGGATCATTGATGCTAGTTATCATCTAATTCCTTTTGGTTTTAGAGAGACAAAGTGTCAAAAGATAGGTCACAGGGCACAGGATTTAGCTCAGTGGTTTTGCTGCCTGCTGTGCAAGCGCAAGGACCCGAGTTTGATCCCCAGTAACAAAAACAAAAAAAGATAGGTCACATAATATGTCTCATAATGTGTTTCATAAAGTCAGTGAGTAGGTGGAATAGATATGGTAAATTATTGGATTATTATGTTGGATTTGAGGATATTATTGAACATTTCATATTCTTTTTTATATAAATTGGAAAGTACTGCCTTATTATGTAGAAATCAGAGTTTGGAAATAATACAAAGTAACCAAAAAGTTACAAAACTCTGCTTGTTGAAAGCTTTGGGATTAACTCTCAGTGAAAATTGTCTTCTTAAGGAAAAAAAAAATTCTTCAAAAGGTACTGTACTTCTTTTTTATTTTTTCCAAATAGGGAGTTTTGGACCCATGCCCAGGAAACAGATTAGAATCTTTGAGGAAAGCTTAACTTTGAAGTTGTTTTAGCATTTCCTCAGTATCTCATGGAATCTTGTGAATCAGTGCCTGTAAAGAACCTACACTTTGAAAGTTCTTGGGCCTGGTGTCAAACGTTTGCTTTTAATCTCTTTTGAGCTGTTCCATCATGGCAAATTAAAGAATCCTGAAGTCTGGTTCTTCTTGTGTTAAGTAATGGTGAAGTTTGTTTCAGCTCTGTGCTTAGTGGGTATGATGTCAAATGTTACTTTTTTTCCCTGGCCTTGCCAATTTTGTAGCTAGAAGAAAATATAAAATAATTTATACTGGACTCAGGCCTTTAAATTAATTCATTAATTACTAAATCTATTTTATGTCTTAGCTGAGACACAATGGAGTAATACAGGATTGTGGTTTCCTAGTGCAGTGTTTCTTTTTTCACTGGGATAATTTGAAATAATAAAACTGGGTGACTTTGGACCTATTTCTTTGCTACTTCTGATAATCTGCAAAGCTAAAATGAAGGGAAAGAAAAAGATAAATAAGTTGGAATATAGGACAGTATTTAGACATTAGGAAGTAAAGGAAACTAAGCTGTTAGTGATCTAAATAGAAATAATTTATATTTTAATAATCTGAAGTACAAAATGAGATAACTTAAGATGGAAATGGGGCTTGCTGCATTTGAGTTTTAAGCTTTTCCTTTGGTTGCATGTTGTAAAAGTTGTCTCTATTCTCCTGGGCAATGATTCCTACCTCAAGTCCAGAAAGTGTTTTTCCATTAGGACTGTTTCTGATAAGTAGTAAATATAGCTTAATCAGAGTCTTTTTAATTGTTTATTTTAGCCTCCTAAATCTATGTGACAATTTTAGTTGTTTTAAATGAAAAATATAGAATAGAATGTAAAAGTATGTTTTCAGTGTCTGAATATATGTAGCTCTATATGTTAATAGGTTTATTAGCAATACATGTGGGAAGTCTTATAATGATTGAAGTTTGTTATTCTCTTTATAGAAATGGACTGGTTTTGATAAGACGTAGTACTCCAGCATGCCTGACGGAATATGTTCAGTCATGGCTTCTGAACTTTGCAAGACGATTTCTGTGGCGAGGCTTGAAAAGCACAAGAATTTGTTCTTAAATTACAGAAACCTGCACCATTTCCCACTGGAGTTACTGAAGGGTGAAGGACTGCAGTACTTGGAGAGACTCTATATGAAAAGGAACTCCCTTACAACCTTGGTATAGTATTATATTCCATTTAAAACTATCATTTATAAATATGGCCCTGGCAAAGATGTATTTCACATACCCTGAGATATACACACCAAGACTTACAGCCCTTCTTGTTATACACACGAGTCAATACATAAATATTAACTGAATTCATCATCTGAGTCCCTGCAGTTATGAGGTTACAGGAGAAGTTGTGTAGGAAACCAAAATACCTACTAATATGCCACTTAAAAAAATTAATCCCTAGTTAAAAATCCCACTTCATTTAGCATGTGCATCTATCCTGGCTATATCTTCTTTGTGTTGTAAGCTTCCTTTAAGATTTCTGAATGTTAAAGTGCCTGACAGACTAGTTCAGAACATATGTAGGGGAATAACCCTGTTAGATGACTTTGACTTATAGGAATTAAAAGGAGTGATTTGAAGATTTGGGGGAAGCTTAGTGAAGCCCTTGGGTGTTAACAAAACAAATAAAAACCTTTGGGCTTGCCCTGTGAAAATCAAAATGATTTTGAATTGGACTTGCATACAATTTGTTGGAAAAATATTATGCTGCAGAAGCAACATACCCTAAAAATAATTTTCATCATAACCTGAATTGTATTATATATGAAATAAAGTATTTAAACTTTTTTCAAGAGGATTTGCCAATCAGGCTTTTATTCCCACTGCTTATTATAAAATTTGATCTTTATTTTTTTACTTGATATGGCCTTTTCTAGTTATCACTTAACTTCCATTGAATTTTGTACTTGAATTCTAGTTCTTACTCATTTTAGATGATTTATAATATGTTGAATTCTTTTGGTAAGTTGACCCTTTTGTTATTCCTTTCACTATATTGGACTTTCTTAAATATCTGAAAAGTATATCCTGTTGGTTTTATATATATGGCATGTGTTCCTGGAAAAGTCTTATTTAATCTGTGAGTAGGTAGAAGGCATGATCAAGTTTATCTTTGCTGTATCTGGAAATAGATGAATTCATAGCTTTTATTTTTAGTGTTTGGCATATTGGTACATACGTTAAATGCATACATTTTTAAAATTAGATTTTCAGCATTTCAACTTGGAAAATCTATATATAGTTATATGAATCCGCTCTTGCAAAATCACCATTGCATGATACAAAACCATATCTACCTAAAGTTTCTTAACCCTTTGGGGAAGAGATAGTATAAGAAATATTTTGTCAAGTATGACAGCAGATTTTTCCATGTTATTTATGAACAAAAGAATTGTGAGTAAATTACTTAACTCTCAGTCATAACTCTATAGAGTAAAGTTTGTGCAAATAAATTAACTTTTGGTTATAAAAGTTAAACTTGGTCTGTGATAGTTTTTCACCTGCAGTTTTCTTTTTTTTTTTGGTATTGGGCGTTGAACTCAGGACCTTGCGCTAGCTAGGCAGGCATGGTGTCACTGAGCTACATCTCTGGCACCTGCAGTTTTCTATTTGTGAAAATATCTAAGTGCTGTACAATTAGATATTTTTAATGGCTCATAGCATACATTTCAAGTTCATGCTATGCTGCCTTTTTAAGCATCAAAGATTAAATGGTTGCACATGTTTATGATACAAAGTGCATTTCATTTTAATTGCTTTCTCTTAGCAATTAAAACATTTGATTCATGTGTATCAAAGAACTTTAGAAACTATAAAGTGCTGTACAGATGGTGAGAATAGGAGCAGTCATCCCAATCTCTGTTTATAGTGTCTGATATAAAGACAGCTTACTGCATAGTTTTTGAAAGCAGATGAAACAATACTTGTTCTAGACTGCTCTGAACTAGTGACTCTTACATCTTTTATTTATTTATTTATTTTTGGTACTGGGGATCAAACTCAGGACCTTGCACTTGGCGAGGCAGGCACAGAACCACTGAGCTAAATCCCCGGCCCTACAGCTTTTAGAATATTTTCTGGTGTTAAAGATAAAATACAGTTCCTATAGGAGATTTAGTTTTTGGAATTTGACTTTTTATCCAAGGAAAGGGGGCGTTATTAGAAATATGTAGTGTCTCAAACACAGTGTGGATTAATTGGACTTTTGGTATATTTTTAAACAAGCTTGGGAACCTGCCAGTCATTTTTATGTTGTTTTACTGTTTCATGGTAACATCGTTTCGTTTTGTGAAATGCCTTCTCCTCCACATTTCCTTCCTTTTCTCCCCCACCCCTCACCATATGAAGCCTCTTGGTGAGAAGAGTAGTCACCAGTGTACAACCTTTACCTTGCTTGGTGGAGCACAGTGGCTCATCTTTGTAGGGTGATTGTATGTCAGATGTTCAGAATTTGAGGACTGGCCCTAGTTAGAACTGAAGCACAGGAAAAAAATAATCCTTTTTCATCACCAAAATTGATTTAATCATGCCACATGTCAGACAATCCAGAGGATTGGGTGGCTCATAAATGACAAAAATTTACTGCTCACGGTTCTGGAGACTGGAACTCCTGTACCAAGATGCTTGCACATTTGGAGTATAATGAGGACCAGCTTCCTGCTTCACACATGGCACCTTCTCTTTGTGTGCTCACATGGTGGAATCGACAGGGCATCTCTCTTGAGCCTGTTTCATAAGGACAGTAGCTCCATGCAGGAGAGCTCTTCCTTCATGACCTAATCACTTCCCAAAGGCCCCTATTTCCTTATTCCATCACCTTGGGGATGAAGATCTCAACATGAATTTGGGAATAGACATAAATATTCAAGCTGTAACATCTCCCATTCCTGTGCTTGGGTTTATGCAACTATCTACTCTATATTTCTTTCTATATTTTTCTTTAAAAAAAATAGAATCATATTATACATATTTTTTGAAAATTTATGTTTTCACTTGATATTATCCCATTAATCTGTAAGCCAGTAGATACACATCTATTTTTATATATATGTGGCATGGATTTAGGATAGTCTAAGGGAAGATTGCTAAGTTAAAAGGTAGATACATTTTTATATTTTAAAATACTTTAAGCAAAATTTTATTTTTTATTATTATTCTTTATTTGTATAGCTAAGCAGCCTTTAAACTTTTACAAAACATAATGAGAGCTGATTGTTGTAGAATCCAGTTATACAGTTCATATGTGAATCAGAAGTAGGGAGGAAATGTTATAATTTTGGTTCCAAACCTTAGAAAATATTCTAAACTTTTTTCTATGATTATTTTAAATGAAAGTCAAGAATTATTAAGTCCCTGATCTTTGAGATAGTTACAAGATGAATAAGTGCATAGGAGTAACACAGGGTTTGTGTTTGTCATGTAACAGATATTCACATATTTACCAAATGAATAAACAAAGGAATATAAAGTAGAATTGTATAAAGACTTCAAGAGCTCTAGACTGAGAGCCTTCAAAAGTGGAACTGTATATCTTGAGTTCTGTATCCCTCATGTCTGGCCTACTGCCTAACATTTGTGGGACATGTAATTTAATTCTGTATAGCAAAAGATTTTTTTTATTATGGAGATTTCTTTTTATTTTATGAAAAATAAAACAAAATTTTATAACAAAATAATAAGAGAATAACAATAGTTAATACACTGTGTACCATTATCTTCAAAGTAGTTACTCAGAGTGTAAGACATAGACCAAAACAATTCTTACAAAGAAGAAACACATAATAACACAAATGTTTGTTTTTAATGAACAAAGATAAACTAGTAGTGTAAATGAAACAAATTAGCATATATATGAAAATATTTTTGAAACAGTGGAATATGTAATTTCGGGAAGTAGAACATAATGATTTCTGTGAAGTAAGTCAGATATGTAAGCTTAAATATTGCATGGTTTTCTTATATGAGAATATATATGTGTGTGTGTGTGTGTGTGTGTGTGTATACAAATAAGTGGAATAGAAGAGAGATCAGTGGAAGATTTTTAAAATATGATCTCTTTTGCGTGACTGAAGAGTAACTGGCAGGAGGTTAGGGGGAAGAGCAGTATTCATTCAACATGGATTTGTTGAGTACTTATTGTGAACCCAGCACTTTTCAAAACACTGACAATAAAAATATTATGAAACAAATTCATACTTTCATGGACTTTTCAAGATTACTTGGTTTGAGGAGATTTCAGACTTGAAATTACTGTTTTGAAGAGTCATACGTTTAGGCTAGAGAAAGACAATGTGATTGTTGGACATTATTCAGCAAGTGTGTAGTGCCTAGGCTTGTGGTAGAACTATCTGCTTGTTTAGGGAGCTGTCTCTTGCTGGCCTCAGCTGTCTGAGGTATGAAGAGGATGGATTATTACATTCATAGTGGTTTAGGTTTTTGCCAGGCAGATGCAGTACAAGTACAGAGAGACTAAAAAGTTTTAGGATTTTGGCAAGAGAGTAAATAAAATGGTGATATATGAAATCTGAGCTGGATTGGAGGGCAAGAAAGAAAGCAGTGGTGAATGATTAGAGAGGATGGAGAGGGGCCAAAGGACCCACTGGTGTTGAAGACCTGGTGTATTGGACATGATTAAGTATCTGGGTATTGGGATACTGTGATTGTGGATGGACACTTTAATCATGGAATGGTCACTGCTGCTGATGACAGGGTCTCCTGTACAGAAGGGAGGGTGCTACGATGCAGCCAAGATCAGTAGCTGAGTCTTTGTCAGAGGCAGACAGCACGTATCTTAAGCAGCGATCACCAGGTCTTCTTAGCTCTGGAGTTCAAGGGATGGAATTAGCCCTGGAAACATTTGAGGGCTGCAATCACAGGTAGAAATGTTTCATTGTTTGGTAGCAAAACTCAGGACCAAGAGGAAACAAGCCCAGGTTCTATGTGCTTACCCTCTTTGGACTCCATTTGCCTCATTTATAAAATAAAGATCCCAAGAGACTTGGAGGAAAACAAAAATGTCATTCTGAAAGCAAAATTCACTTATGAATCTGTCAGTTTCTCTTAATGGAGAAAGTAGCCCTTCCAATGATGAATGGACAAAAAAGAGGCATCTGAATTTTAATGAAAGAGGGAGTTTAGTTGTGATTAAGCAATAAGAGCAG